CTTTGGATACTGTGTTGGTGTGGCCTGAGGACTTGAACATTGGCTCATTACTTCATTGTATTGCTCTTATTTGGATGGGATCTCGGTGCATTTGTCCTCTCTGCTTCTACACGACTACTTGCACATCTGTGTGATTTCGCAACTTGGTTTTCTGCATATCATTCCCACTCATATTCCTTGCAAAGACTAGACACGTGCAAATAATTAGTTAACAAGCACTTTCACGAAGACTCGCTAATCATGTACAGTTGCTCGGGTTTTGACTACCCATAGTACGTTCGCAGTACCGAAATACAGGACGCTTTAGAAAAACAAGAATTGTTGGTCTCCGGCGGGATTTGAACCCAAGACCTGGTCCAAGTGAACAGTAAGTATTAGTGCTACCGATTTTGCTGTTTTTACATTAGCTGCCAGTAAGATTTGAGCCTGCGACCTACAAGTGGAAACACTGCTACCTGCTCTTGAACACATAGGACCCTGTAGGACCTATACATCTAGAACTCTCTAGGCTACCTGCGAGAGGCTGCCTGTCAGGCATGTGCACAGGTACCCCAGATTTTTTTGTGTGTGAAACAGAGAGGGAAGAGAGAATGTCAGACCTGAAAGATAGCTTCATTCCAGGACACAACACGCTCTCATCGAAGTCCACAAGAAGCCCAGTTTCCGAGGACACAATGGCCCTTTATCATGACTGTACTGGACCTGAGAGGTGACCTGTATACATTAGAGTACACATTGTGCCTCTATAGAACATCGTGCCTCTCTATCTTCTAGGTCCAGTACAGTGATGACGAGTGCATGGCGCTCCCCAATATCCTTCTTCGAGAACACACCCTGGTTATGACTGTATTGGATAGAAAAATAGTACCTTCAGACAGAGAAAGGGGCTGTAGACTTCACCAAGTGTTAAAAGATAGTATTGCTCACGCACAGAGAGAGGGGTAAAACCCACTTCCGTCGTTACCAAGTGTAAAAGATAGTATTGTTCACGACATGTGCCTCAAGTTTGAAATAAATGTATCCCTGTCAAGTGTGCAAAGCCTGAGAATCTAGACCAACAGGCCTGCGTGGAAATCATCAACTCTCTCTGGTGGGAGAAGGGGACCCAACGAATGATTCCTTGCGTTCATATATGTGGTTCACAGGGCTTCCATTGGTCCGGTGCCTATATGATTAATGCCTTGCATGGCGGAAGTGATTATGATATGCAACCCCGCACAAAGCACTCCTGGGAAAATGCAGAATGAGAGTCCAGGGTTTCCATGACGTGCAGACAGCAATCATTCACCATTCATATAACCGTGCATGAAAGGGAGTTATTGATCATCCGAATCAGCACAAGGGGACTCGAAAAGGAACATCGTCACAACGTAAATCGATGATAGTTTAAAGTCAAGCAGCTGATCAAAGTCAACGCCAACTCTCCACCGCTACAGACTGTCTGGGTCCTTAATCCTCACTCACCTTTTCTACTTTTCATCCTCAGAAATGCCAACCCGCCACAACAACCATCTTCTAGGAGAAACCTTGGAACACAGGAGACCATTGGTCAACATGTTCTTTTAGGGCTGGCCGCATCGGTAGAGGCTCTGTTCATTGGGCACAGTTGCAGAGAGCTGCACCGCTCCATGTACACTTTGATGCCACGCTGATGCGATCAAGCGGCTTGCCGTTGCTCTGACTCATGTAATGTCACTCCATTTTCTCCTCACCTTTACTGTCTGCCTCCATCTACCTACTACCGTCTTCTCCCAAAAATGAGCTTTCAAAAAAGAACTGTTTTGGGAAATTTAGACCCCTTTCTTCAAATAGAAGGGCACTTTGGACATAATGTTATGCTTCTCTTCGAATAAAACACAGGTGCCTTCTATTCGAATTCACAAAGAGAAAACTATTGTATTGGAATAGATTCAATAGAACATTACTTCTCTTTTTTTTTTTTTAGCGGCTTCTCTCTCTCTCTCTCTCTCTCTCTCTCTCTCTCTCTCTCTCT